AAAAAGTTACCAATTATGTAGTGAACAAGTTGTGGGTATAAATTCATCCTTTTAACCATTACCCATTGCTTTTCTTCGCCAGAGAACTTTCTTCTCCCAGTGGACACTTCGCAAACTTGATATTTTTACTTTACCATGAATTAAGGATTGAATTCTTTCAGAAATGTCGAAGGTCCACTCTGGCAGTATTTAGTAATCATCTAGATCTAGAATTCCACAAATTTCAACTACATGTTTGTTTCCCTTGTTAAATGTTACAGGATGTAAGCCAAAGCTTTTAGGATTGCAAGCATTTTGATGACAGAGTGCCTGTTTAAAAAGAAATGATTAAATCTGTGTGCAGTATATCAGTGCTGTTTGCTTTGGAATGGCACTGAGAATTCCTTTCGCAGAGATATTGCAGTGGGTTTTAATTACATGCTACATTTGTTTCATTCATGGCACACTGTTTTCAATATTCAGTTATTCTCAATCCTGAAATCCTTCATCTAGAAAAACCTACTGCTTCTTTGGTTATGGAATTGTCACTTTGAGTTTTCAAAGCTGGGCTAAGTAATTTTCAATTGTGCTCATATTTGAATAAAGTTTAACAATTCTTCTTCAACCATGTGTACAGTTAAATTAATGTATTTTATAGGAGCTTTGTAAGGGGTTTGGTTAGCTCATTTGGCTGGACAGCTGGTTTCTGCTGCTAACAGCATGGGTTCAATTCCCACACTGTCTGAGGTCGCCATTAAAGACTCTCCTTCTTAACCCCTCTCCTCACCTGAGGGGGATGACCCTCAAGTTAAACCACCACAAGTTGTCTCTCTCTAATGAGAAAGTAGCCCTATGGTGCTCTGGGATTATGGCAACTTAACCCTTTTATAAGAGTTTAGCAAAATAGTTCCATGACAGCTATGTTATTTGAAAATCAACATAAAACTTAATGTGCATTTCGTTTTTAATTATTTTCCTTATGCAAAGATGTGACCCCCATGAATATATCCAGTCACAAAAATAAGGAGAAAAGAGCCAAACAGTGGAAAATATTTGAAATGATGTAGGTTAAACCAGTGGCTATCAATCAGTTTTCTTGTCCTGAAATATGAAAAATATATGATCATGATCAATGCAAGTCAATATTAATGCAATTTACTTTTTCTGATTTCCTTTCCTCAATCAGGTCCCTGAGCAATAGTTGTTCTTTAATGGAAAGCATCATGAACAGTTCTCTAAGTAGCATTTTCTCCCCACCAACCCTCATACCCAATTTGCTGATTCTGATTGACATAAGGTTGCATGGCATATGTTGCTGTCACATTAATAGCAGGGGATGGTTTTCATCCATTGCCCTCATTATAATGGGCTAGCGTGCTTCCGTAGCACCACTCTCACATAACATGTGAAAGAAGGCACTCTTCAGAAAGGAGGCTCAGCCTGCAATCCCCGGAAAACTGTGAAGCTATCACTGCCATGCCTAATTTCTGATGAAGGGTCTAGGCCCGAAACATCAGCCTTCCTGCTCCTATGATGCTGCTTGGCCTGCTGTGTTCATCCAGCTCTACACCTTGTTACCCCTACTTTTGTCCTCACTCCACACCCATTCGCTTTTTATTTCCCAATACACGGAAGCAGGCACGTTCACTCAACAGTTAGAAAATGAGTAAGTGCAGCTCTGGCCTCTGGTTCTCACTGAGGAGCAAGACTACGCGTTTCCTACTGTGATGCCATCCCAAGTTCTACGAGGCAACTTATAAAGGATCTCATCCATTTTGCTCCAGTAGTGAACTTAAATGATCACATCATAAGCGCCCCACATACTGAAGCCATGCCGTTATATTTCTAAGCAGAGAGAGAGCAAGCTCGTCAAACAAAAAAGTTGCCACTTGTGGCTGAGCGCTTAACAAGTGAGAGTGAACTTGAATCATGATTTGTAATGTAAACACCAGTCACATTATTGATGGTAGCTGATAGCTTTTTCAGTCTATCAGCTGTGCTGTGCTCCGAGCTTTCCTGGATGGGATCCAATGCCCCAGTATTATTGTAATCCAACCCTTCCTGATAATACTTAATCAGACTTCTTTCTAATGAGCTGCGAAAAAGTTAAATCCTTTTTATACTGTGTTACATATTGTTTTTATTCTTGAGTCACTTTTGCCTGAGATTATTATGTTATTAATATAAATATGGTTATTTAGGGTAGATAGTACGTTTCAGATGCTCTCAATAAAAGCAGCATAGGACTCCCTTCCTTTGTTTAATTATTGCTGCAGTTTATTTTACATTGGGCTTTTGCTGCTGAGATGCAGTCAGTGACCCCCATAGAGCTATGTAGAGCAAGAGTTTAGGTTATGTTGACAGGGCCTAAATCCAAAAGATTTGGGCCAGATATTGTGACACTTCCAACAGCTGTAATAACACAAAATAAAAACAGTTTCCTAATGGTCATGTCTCCTTCAGCGGTTGTCTGACTGTCAAAAAATAAGACCATCTACGGCTGCCTGCTGTTTTAGTGTGAGAGAACTTGAATGCTTTCCATTGTTTATTTAATATACAGTTGCAGATGTAAGTAGCTTCAATTCGATCATTTGTCCTGCTGAACAGAAAAATGATACCTGAATAAATATTTTGTTTTAACAGGTGTAGCATTTACTAGTGGAATTATGTCAGTCAAGGAAAATGAATGTTAATAAGTGGAAATCAATTTTCTGTGTTCTTTTCTCTTTTAGAAATTTGTGCCGCATTGACCTTTTAATGTAGTGCTAAAACTTCCAGCTGTTATAAATATCTTTTGCTGCCTATGCTGTATAGGTAACAACAGAATAGATTCAGTTGGTTAGTTGCTCCTTAATACTGGAGAAATTGTTTCCCATTGCTTAGAATGATAGAATCCCTATAGTGTGGCAGCAGACCATTCAGCCCATTGAGTCCATGCCAACCCACTGAAGAGATCCCACCCAGACCACCATACTATCCTATAACCCTGTATTTCCCATGGCTAACCCACCTAACCCTCAAGTTACTCAACACTATGGGCAGTTTAGCATGGCCAATCCACCCAACCTTCACATCTTTGGACTGTGGCAGCAAACCAGAGGTAACCCACACAGACACAGGGAGAATGTGCAAACTCTACACAGACAGTCACCCAAGGGTGGAATTGAACCCAGGTCCCTGGCACTATGAGGCAGCAGTGCTAACCACTGAGCTACTATGCTGCCCCAAGCAGTTTACTCAAGTTGGCTTTTCAGTAATAACAGTAAGTAGATAGGATGTACCTTATTGCATTTATCCTGAAGGTAAAGTACTTTGTGTATGTCCAATTGGAGGACATTGTGTGTTGCTATTAAAAAATGCATCTTGCCTGATGAAACTTCTTATCAAATCTGGAGAATGTTGGATCTGCAAAAAATTAGAAACTCTTTCTTCAGAAAGCTACATGCCTGCTGATGGATTGGAATCTGTGCACAGCATCGGAAGAACTTGCTGAAATGAGGCACACAAAACAATGTTTGAATGACTGAAGATTAGTTCTATTCGATAGCCATGCATAAACTGGCCCTGAATTACTATGGGCATTCTCCCAATTTCTGACTGTATCTTCATTGTGTGATTGGCAGAATCCCCAGAGAAAATAGTTGGCTGCTCAGACCATTTCTCAAGGAGTTGCACTGATCTCCCAGTAGGAGTTTAGAAGACTTAGAGTAGAATCTCAGCCTAAAACTCTACGTCGACTTCAAGCGCTTCAAATTTATTCTCATTTTAAGCTTTTCTAGCTTATGTCATTAGAAGGATAGCAGTAGTATTGCTATAAGTGCACTGTGGTGTCCTTAGGACATCTTGAACTCTTAGCACAAATGAATTGCTGTTGTTTTGTAAAGCAAAAGTGACAGCTGATTCTTAATAACACTATTCCACAGTCTACAAATGACTGCATAAATGAGCAGGTAATCTGTTTTTGCTGAAATTGAGGCATGTTGCTGAAATTGTTCTTTTTGCCCTCCTCTGGGCAAAGGCAAGAATGCCAAATTTCAACTGATCACAGCAATTTTCAGGAACAAAGGATGTTGATTTTTCGGTCAAGATGCTGGCACAAAGAAAGCAATGGGAAACAATCAGTTCCCCAAGCTCCCAGGTATTTCAAAAATAACACAAGGCTTGAACATATTTCTTTGTTTGCATGGAGTGAGTTCCCATGCATGAATATATGTTGCTTCTGTCAAGCATAATTGAACTAGGTCGTGAGCTGGACTGATTACCTTAAATTGGTTATTTGTGTAGCTATCTGCACAGTCAGAATTATTCCACAAGTGCTGCCCATTCACAGAACCACACCTAAATGTAGGTGTTTTGTTTAGGTTTTTGCAAGCCTGGGTACTTGAGTATGATCCGTGCTCTGCTGTACACCTTGTTTTGAATTATCCAGGATCTTGGGAAGCCTGTAGTTCCCCATTTCTTTCTCTATCGCAATGCCTTAACCAATCAAACTTGCCAAACAATCAGTGTCCTTTTCTTCAATGGTATAATTTGTTGAAATAATTTGAAATTTGCCATTCTTGCATCTGTCCTGCAAGGCAAAAAGTTCAATAGCATTTTTCTGTTTTCAACAATATTCAAATGATGATTGGGTTGGCTTTGTACAAGACATTTCAGTTTCTATTGTTGTAGGAAACATCATTGCTTCCTAAAGAGATGTAATGAACTGGAGTTAGATATTTTTCTGTCTTGGGGTTCCTGGAGTTGTACATGGGGGTGCAAGAGAAATGAATAATAAAATTGTGAGCATTTTAATATCTGTTAACAAGTCTACACATCTTAATTAGCTCCTTATTGCACTATGCCAGTACAACATTCAGAAATGTGGATGGTTGCTCTCCAAATTGTTGGTGCTTCTAGTACATGTGGATCTTGCAACTTCATTTCTCACTGTGGTGTCAGATGCCAGAAATTAAAATGAAATATTGAGTCAGCCCTTTATACTTATTGACCTAAAGCAATTTATTATATTGATTCATCAGGGCCACCAGGACTTCTGGGTCCAACTGGAGCAGCAGGCCTTCCTGGTGGGAGAGGTTTACCAGGACCCCCAGGACCACCAGGGCCACCAGGGCCTGCAGGACCATCACGTGCTGACATTCCTTATCTAGGATCAGTTGACCTTGGATACACAGCAACCAACAATGGCAAGTATATGTTATTATTCCTCATTGTAGTCACAGACGTTAGCTTCGCATCCAAACTGAATATGCTGGCCTGTAAGGAATCAATACTTAATTTCCTTTGATTCATTTCAGATATAGTGAAACATTTCTGATGCTTTATAGAGTTCATGAAAGCATGAAAATCTGTATTAGTGATTTATGTACTCATTTTAGCCTAGATATTGTTGACATAGCCACTGAGCATTGCCAATTGCATGCCTACTTATCCATATCATCCCCATGATCTTTGCAAATGGCTTGTCTCCTCATCGATCTGTACTACCAGTCCTATGAGATGTAGATTTGACTTTTTTAACTCAGTGGAAATCAATCCTCAGTATAAAATCACATAACTTGATTAATGTTTTCTGTAAGAAATGGCAATCATTCAAAAAGTCTGTAATGTAGGCAGTAATGAGTGTCTTTAAGACAGAAATAGAGAGATTCTTGATCAGTAAGGGTTATGGGAAGGAGATAGGAGAATGGAATTGAGAAACACATCAGCCATCATTGAATGGTGGAGCAGACTCAGTGGGCCAAATGGCCTAATTCTGCCCCTATATCTTGTGACCTAATGGTCCTATGCTAATCTACCCAAGCCCCCTGGCCTTCTATTGCCATTGAGTGCCAACGTATCCACCCTTTACCTTTCTCCATGCTAACACATCTACTATCTCAATACACGTCTGACAGAAAGTATATTATGAGTCTACTGATGATGGCATTATTGAAAAACGGTCACTCTGTCATTGATACACAAGTTATCTAAATTTATTGAAACTGTTCAACTAATCCCTTACGGAAACAAATATTTAATGTCAGTGCTCTCAATGACTTAGGCCAAAAAAGAATTCACATCAGTGCGTAATCTTTTATGTCAACTAATATTTCCATTCAGTGAGCAGTCGGAGTTGTCCATCAGGCAACACTGCATTGTGAAAGATTGGGAGATCAGTAATTCAGCAAAACTCCGATAATGTTTTTATGCAAACAGGCACTCTAAAATGCCGAGCACCTTTTTCACTCCACGTTTTGATTTTCATGGTTCATTGAGAATTTTGCTAGTCCTGATGAGTTTGTGCACTTCTCACACATAAGCATGCTTTTTCACAATCCCAAAGAGTGCCCAACCTCTATCAGGACCAGATTCAAAGGGGTATATTATCTCTTCAAAAGGGGAGAAATATAAAATATTCCTCCATTGCTCACATTCTTACACACTCCCCATGCCAAACAATACAACCTTATGCCTTTTACCCATTACCTATGTGCCTTTTTGTACCACCACTTTTTATCACTTCATCTACTATGCCAATCCATTAAGCATCCACAAGTAATCATGCACAAAAGTAATAGAACTATATTTATTCCCCCTAAATTCCTATATTGGAGAGCACACTGTGTTTAGAAAAGTACACTAATTTCGTAAATGCACATTTTGACACCTGTTGACACTTAATGACAGTTTGATGCTTGCTGACGTTTCAAGACACCATTTCACTCGTCTTGACAGGTCACTCCTTAAAAGGTTGGACAGGTCCAAGGAGCTTATGCACTTTTCATGCTCAATATTCTCCACACTTAACTCCACCTAAGGGGCACCTGACTCTCATCTGCAAGGTATGCTGGAACCATATCTGCAGGAGTCCCTCAGCTCTCCAAAGGGGTTATTTAGCTATCTGTAAGAAACGTGCTAAGAACAGATTTTCCATGACCTGTTTGTATCTCCATACTGTTGGTTCCAGATACTTACAACTCCAAAATCGAGTGGGGACAGATAGTTAATTTGATGGTCAGCTGACTTTGGGAACCATGCGTGTATGAACCACAGCACCCAACCCAATACCACCCCACTCCCTCCCAAAAATAAGAAATGCCTGAGTTCAGTAGCAGCACTTGGATTCCTGAGTTTTTCCAGTACTTCTGCTGCCATGGAGGTACTCTGTTGTATGTCACAATTTTGGGCCCACTAGTGTTTTTAATTTCCCCTATAATCTTCATCTCCAATAGTGACGAAATTAGGGAGTGAAACATAAAGGTCTCTATAATGCAGCCCTAACCACCACATGTGCATCCATTGACATGTTTAGAGGGGTTGGTTTTGTGATGTTTGGATCAACACTTCATTAATTTATTTAAATTAAGCTCCAAAAGAGCAATCAACAGTTGGTCCCTGGCTGCAGATTTCTGTCACCGGCCTATCATCTTGGCCATTTGCTAAGCCATCAATTTGGCCAAGGCCAGGCGTGGGAATATTCTTCAGCTGCATTCAGCTTCCCCTGAACCTCCCTCACCTTTCTCTAAATATTATGGCCAATGTAATTACTATTCACCAGTTCATCACTTGGTATCAGAAAATATACACAATTTAACCAGAACCTAATCTGTGAATTGGATGAAGACATTCCCTTCATCTCAACCAGGGATCTGGATTACAGTGCAGCTAAGAATCTGGTTTTTATTTAACTTAGCAACAAATTACTTTTTGCTAAGTGTTAATTGCACTGTTATAACTGTGGCAATTTCCTACTTAAGCGCATGACTTCTTTTATTCAATGTTCACATTTTCATAACTAATCCCAATAGTTTAATTCACAACCAGCTCAGATTTGTTATAGGCGCCTTATTTTACTAATTTGTCTAACATCTGACACTCTTGGTGACTGACTTCATAAATGCACCACTCAGTTTAATATGAAGTGATATGAAACAAAAAGACATCTGATCCAGTTACTGAGTCAGGAAGGATAATTGAGCTCAGCAAAGCTGGTAAAAAAATAGTTTTATCTTAGAAATTTGTTCGTAATTATCTTGTGATATGATCTTGGTACTTCCTGGACTGTGGTAATTGTACTCAATCAGCAAGGGGTAAGCATCCCTCCCTTTTCTATGCATTCTGAGTAATCTAAGTTGTGTTCTTCTCACATTAATAACATATTCCACTAATTGAAGAAATGTTATTATTACCGAATCCCTGCCATTCCTTAAAATATTTAAAATCAGAGTTTGCGTTTACCTGTTCCACTTCAAATACCTAATCTCTTAAAGAGAAGGAGGGAAAAACAATCATTTTGTTTTCTGGCTGACCTGAAGCCAGAACTTTGCAAACACTCAATGATCTGTAACTTTCCTTCACTAAGCAACAATTAAAATCTGGCCACAGAAACTGCTTAGAACAGTTCCACAAGAGACAGACCAAGTAACATCTGACCATTATAATCATGTTCTGGAGCTCAAATGACCAATGAGTGATGCATTGGTTGGGGGTTAACAGCATAAAAAAAATTGATTTGTGTTAATTAATGATACTCCCCCACAATTAACTCAACTTCCTCTTTCTCCTCTTCCTTCTCCTAACCATCATTATCTATATAATAAAGGAAAGTCCTCATTCCAGCTTCTTCCCTTCCCCCTTCTCCTCCATCACAATCTTCTTCCTTTTTATTTATCCTTGTATCCTATTGCTATTTATGTAAGCATGCAATTTTACTATTAGAAATTTGGCTACACTTGCTGTTTTCTGGTACAATAGCAAAATGATTTGAGTCAAGCTCACATTTCTTGGTGATCCTGAGATGTGTAAGATGAAACTCACTTGTGTGTCATTTTAAAGTAAAGGATGATTTAGGTACTCAGTATCTGAAAGGTTAGAAAAGAACCCTGATGTGGTGTTGCTGGAATTCATATGGTTTCTATTATTTTTCCCCTTAATATGAGTCCATTATCATGGGACAGAATGATTTTACATAATGTGAGAAGTCTAGTTAATGTTGAATGATTCTTGGATCATAATTAATGAAGTTGGCCATGTGGTAAAGTGCTTTGTTGTATATGTTTTACAGAAAAGTAAAAGTAGCTTTATCCGTGAGGTTGCTTCCCTGCATCAGCTTATGAGCAAGAAATGCTACTTCAGTTTTGCAGATACACTCCCATTCTGTTATAACTTGGCAACGAACAACTCCTTTCTCTGCGCAACTTCGATTTGGCTATAGTTTTCACCTTCCCTAACATTGTAACTGGAGTAGAACCTTTTGCCAAGTCAATTTCGTAGAATTCTTTCACGACACAGCAACTCCCCCACCCCATTCCCAGTCTCCAAACATCATAGAAACTTCCTTACTAAGTTATCCTCCCTCCTCTCTTCCTCAGTGTCTGCACCTAGTAACTGCGTATCCTTGGCAATTTCAATTTAAACCTCGCCTTCCCTCTTATTTGGCTGGAATCCCATTGCAGTGTGAACTAGATATGCAGGGATTTTTCACTCCCCCTCACAATCTTATTGACAGTGGACCAGAAAAACACTTTAAGACCCAAGGCCAGATGTAAATCTTTAATCTGCTTTGTTTCATAGCTAGTGACATACTAAGTAATGTTAAGATCAATTCAATTTAATTCGATCACCACAATCTGTCTTCATTTAATTATACAACATCATGATGCTTTGTACTTGATATAAGCAAAATCTCTTCTTATTACTCTTGTGTATTCTAATCTCCTGTGTCTGATTGAAAATTTAATCTTACAGCTTTCTGTTCCTACTTTGTTCACGATCTAAATGATTGCAAAGTGCCACGCAGTGTTTACACTGCGTAAACAGGCCATTCAGCCCAACAGCTCAATGCCAGAATTTACCTTGTCTACTTTCTCCTAGCCATCTCCTCCAAATCCACCAACATATCCTTCATTTCTAAAGAAGTCATACCAGACTCGAAACCAGACTCCACAGATGCTGCTAAACCTGCTGAGTTTCTCCAGCATTCTACGTGTCCTTCAATTCTTCTCTCCATCATGTGCTTATATAGCCTCTCCTTGAATTCATTCACCTCAACAAAACCTTGTGGCCTCAAGTTCCACATTCCAAAGATAATTCTTCCGAATTTCCCATTGGATTTATTAGTCATAGAGTCAAACAGCACAGAAACAGACTCTTCAGTCCAACTCATCTGCACTGACTACATACCTCAATCTGACCTAATCCCGTT